TTAACTCTTAACTTTTATAAAGAATATCTCTTTGGATTTGAGACTTTAGTCTTTGCAACTTTACAGATCTTCTTTATGCACCAAGAGCTTGTAACACTCCAAAGAGAAAGGAAAAATGGAAATCGCATCATATGACCCCATTAATGCACTTCGTGTTGTCAATTACAACCAGATTACAACGAAAAACATTTGCTTGACCAGCCACAACATCAGCATAACAGTTACTGCAAAATTATTTACCTACTCTCTTTGCAGAACACCCAATCCCTGTTCCCTGCATCATCTGTTTTTCTTTTTACAACCAGATTACAACGAACGAATGGAATATATTTTCATTCTCTTTGTATTTTTATATCAATATGGTACAAGATTATAGTAGTCTGATTATATTACCCAAAAGGGGTGTAATGGATTACGTTGCTAACTACAATTTTTATCATGTAATTTGGAATCAGTAACAGACTGTAAGAAATCTACCTAGTACTTGCTCTTAACCCTTTGGTACAGAGTTGCCATATGGCAAGAATTAATTTCTACTCATTTCCTTGTTATTCTGAAAAAATACAATGTATTGCACTATGGGAACTAAAAGGGCAGGTCTTAAGATGTGCTGTCTTTAAATCACATGACATGCAAAAGTCCATCCAAAACTGTTTTTCCCACTGTCACCCTCAAACGGAAGACACCTGCTGAAGTGCTCCAGAAATTGCTCTATTAACCTCATTTCTAAACATCTCTTCTCAAGGTTTTTTTTGTAGCATCTATGTTAAGTAAATTAGATATTTTTTATTCACAATTTAACCTTGTCTAACATAGTTTTACTGTAAATTGAGAAAATATCGATTTTTCCATATGGCAATGCTGTAGGCCTACCACAGTGGAATTGCAGTGATGTATTTCCCCATTGGGATTTTTAAAAATAGAAATTAGCATCAATAATATGATTGCACAGTTATTTATTTATTTGAAGTGTTTATTGTAGTATAGTTGTATTTATGTATAAATAACAACATTATTTCTTCTTTTCAGAAAATGCATACAATATTTTACAGAAAGGCCAATAGGAAGAGTGCAGAGTTAGCTCTTCCATGTGATGAGAGTGAGGATAAGTTAGCCTTCAGTGAAGGTTAAAATGATAGGGGTCTACTTATTTTTGGTTTGCATGAGTTCCGAGTATTTTTAGAAAAACTACGTTACTTTTTGACCATTTTCCTTTGTGGTTGCCATAGAGCAGCGTTTTCCTAAGTCTTTTTTTTTTTTTTATCTGTTTTGATTTGTATGATTGAAGCTATTTCATATAATAAAAACTTATTTGAAAAAAAATATTTCATGGTTAGAAAATAATGCATACCATGCATCAAAGGTTAAAGGGGTCATATGATGCTGCTAAAAAGAACATTATTACATTATTTTGTGTATTTGGTGTAATGAAATGAGATCTTCTTTATGCACCAAGAGCTTGTAACACTCCAAAGAGAAAGGAAAAATTGAAATCGCATCATATGACCCCGTTAAACTCTGATATCCATAGATATGTGAGATCGGGAGCATGCATTGCCGCGCATGCGCGGTAAACGCAGGTTGGGACGCGCGCTTGAGCTGGAAAAATACATCATCCACCCGAATGAGCTCATCGATTATTATTCCAGACGAAACCTCGTTTATTTAGCTTCTAATAAAGAGCCATATATCCGATTCTGAAAATGCCGGTAAGATTCTAATCTCTTATCTTCATTTATCGCTGTGTAATGTGTGTGTTTACGCCCCACCTTCTTATCATTCCTTTGCTTTGCTACCGGAATATCATCACAGACTGTTATTAGACAGCGTTTTCTACCGAGCGTTTGTCGTTATTGATCAAATCTATGATGCATTTAATTATTTTTCGATGCTTTTGTCCTTTGAATGACTTGAGCTGTTTTGTGCACATCAAGCTAGCTGCCTGCTAGTTATTAGCTTCATAGCAAAAGCTCAGGGGGTTAACGATAGTATGACCTCTCACTTTCTTGAGATTAATGAGAAATTATGTTACAACCGCTCACAACAGATGGCTAACGTTAGTTATGTTCTGCGTGTAAAAAAATGGCTCTGCTTTTATTGTCTTGTTAATTTAGCCCCTAGCTTGACACAGGCCGAGCGGTCCTATCCGCTGCTTAGCAACAGCGTTACATCAACCCCACATCCAATGACCTTTACAATAAAGGTTACCCATTAAGCACCCATAGCTCACGCATGAAAAAGCCATCATTTGGTGTTTCTTTACTTATGAGCGCATTTGGCGTGGTGTTCTGTGACTTTAAGATCTTTAGATTATTTTATTTGTCTGCTAACGATGTCCAGCAGTGAACACACAAGCACAGCAGAAGATATCTGTCATTTGATTTGATATTAGCTCATAAAAAAAAAAAAAAAAAAAAAGTCATTTATGCCACATAGACATTTTTTTGTTTACATAATTTAACAAAGGTTCGTTGGAGTTGACTGTAATCATGCAGCATTACATATTCTGCTCATTTGCATACTCTTCACAGACACTGTGGTTGTAAACACACACTGCCTGGGATCAGTAAGATTTGAAATGTGTTTTAAAGAAGTCTCTTCTGTGCATCAAGGCTGCATTTAACAGTAATATTCCGAAATATTATTACAATTTAAAATAATGCTTTTCCTATTTTAAAATACTTTAAAGTATAATTTATTTCTGTGATCAAAGCTGTATTTTCAGCATCATTACTCCAGTCTTCAGTGTCACATGATCTTCAGAAATCATACTAATATGCTGATTTATTATCAATTTTGGAAACAGTTTTTGCTGCTTAATATTTTTTTTGGAACCTGTGATGCTTTTTTCAGGATTATTTGATGAATAAAGTTAAAAAGAACAGTATTTATTCAAAATCGAAATCTTTTGTAACAATATACGTTACCATTCAAAAGTTTGGGGTCAGTAATCTTTTGTCTTTTTTTTTTTAAATAAATGAATGCTTTAATTCAGCAAGGATGTGTTAAATTCATAAAAAGTGATAATACAGATTTATATTGTTAGAAAAGATTTCTATTTTATATAAATGCTGTTCTTTTTAACTTTATTCATCAAATTAAAAAAAAAAAAAGTATTACAGGTTCCAAAAAAACATTAAGCAGCACAACTGTTTCCAACATTGATAATAAATCAGCATATGATAATGATTTCTGAAGATCATGTGACACTGAAGACTGGAGTAATGATGCTGAATATTCAGCTTTGCATCACAGGAATAAATTAAATGTTAAAGTATATTAAAATAGAAAACCATTATTTTAAATAGTAATAATATTTTACAATATTACTGTTTTTTTTTCAGTATTTTTGGTCAAATAAATGCAGCCTTGATGAGCAGAAGAGACTTCTTTCAAAAACATAAAAAATCTTACTGATCCCAAACTTTTGATCAGCAGTGTACTTAAGGACACAATTATTAGAAATTATGCCACAACTAAAGGGTAGTTGTATTTTTGTGTAAAAAATTATTTTACTCTAAAAATAATTTCATATATTTTTTTAATTATGAATTTTTTATATTTTTGTGATGGATTTTCACTTTTTTATGGCCGAATGCCATTGTGCTGACAAACAGATTCTTCCGCACTAACTTTGTCAAACCGGTTTCTGTTTGTCCAGAGTAATAAGCTGGATAAACCAGAGAAGGTGGAGGTGAGTGATAATGTGAAGGTGGTGGTGAGATGTCGACCCCTCAATGAGAAGGAGAAGATGATGGCACACAAGCAGGCCGTCGCTGTTGACGAGATCCGGGGAACGATTACTGTGAACAAACTTGATATGACTAGTGAGCCGCCAAAGACGTTCACCTTCGACACAGTGTTCGGTCCAGACAGTAAACAGCTGGATGTGTACAATTTAACAGCTCGACCTATTATTGACTCAGTATTAGAGGGTTACAATGGTAAGTCAATAGAGAGATCTAGCGCATATGTCTTCACCTTTTATCTATTTGACTGTTTTTGCAAGTTTGAAATGTTGAAGATTACATTTATAATTGTTTTTTTTTGTTTTTCAGGAACCATATTTGCATACGGCCAGACAGGCACAGGGAAGACGTTCACTATGGAGGGTGTCAGGGCAGTGCCTGAACTCAGAGGAATCATCCCAAATTCATTCGCTCATGTATTTGGTCACATTGCAAAAGCAGAAGGAGACACCAGGTGAGAATGGGGATTGTTTCTTTTAATGCTGTGCTGTTCAGAGGTCAGTGTGTTCTTTGTCAGCGTGATTTCCCATGATTAATCATGGAGATGCTTATCATTTGTCATGTTTTTCCATGATACAAGGAAATTATCAGAGACGTGCAGAGTGTTAAGATAAACTGTGTTATGTGACAGGTTTCTGGTAAGAGTTTCATATTTGGAAATATACAATGAGGAGGTGAGAGACCTGTTAGGAAAGGACCAGATGCAGAGGCTGGAGGTGAGAAACCAGCATGTTTCATCATATCTAAAAGTTGAGAGCTTCTCGGTTTCCCATTATTGCACTCATTAGATTAGGCGTGTCGTTAATCGGACACTCCAATATAGGTCATGAAGCGTTTGACTAATGCATACATCCGCATGGTATATGCACCCACAGAATTCTACAGAAAACTGCGCCAGTTTCTGTAGAATTTCAACACATCGAACAGAATATGATCATTCAAAAATTCCACATCTCACACACTCTTAGTGGGATTGTTTATTAAATATTTTTCTGTATTTTATATATTTTGATGATGCTTGCAGCTACAAATTGGAATGTAGTTCGTTCTAGGTGGAGGGGGGGTGACCTATTTCTATAATATCTTATAAAATATAACTTATTTCTGTGATCAAAGCTGAATATTCAGCATCATTACTCCAGTCTTCAGTGTCACATGATCCTTCAGAAATCATTCTAATATGCTGATTTGCTGCTGCTCATGTTGGAAACAGTTGTGCTGCTTAATATTTTTGTGGAAACTGTTACTTTTTTCAAGATTCTTTGATGAATAGAAAGGAACGGCATTTATTTGAAATGCATATCTTTTGTGACATTATAAATGTCACGTTAGAGTCACTATTGATCAGTTTAATTTGTCCTTCCTGAATAAAAGTATTAATTTCTTTCTATAAAAAGAAAAAAGGAAATCTTATTGACCCCAGTCTTTTGAATTTGTAGCCTTATAAGACTCGTTTTAGTTTTATTGTTATTGAGGAAGTCTGACTTAACTAAAGCTTGGATCCTTGAAATAAGGCATTATAAATGTCACGTTAGAGTCACTATTGATCAGTTTAATTTGTCCTTCCTGAATAAAAGTATTAATTTCTTTCTATAAAAAGAAAAAAGGAAATCTTATTGACCCCAGTCTTTTGAATTTGTAGCCTTATAAGGCTCGTTTTAGTTTTATTGTTATTGAGGAAGTCTGACTTAACTAAAGCTTGGATCATTGAAATAAGGCAGTGCCATTTGTTGTGCAACTTGGAAATGTAAAGGCAAATTTCTGCAAATGATGATGAATACTAAACTCAAAATACAGGTCAAGGAGAGACCTGATGTAGGAGTTTACATCAAGGATCTTTCTGGATATGTGGTAAACAATGCTGATGACATGGACCGGATTATGACCCTTGGACACAAAAACCGTGAGTATTTTAAATTATTTTATTAAATGAGTGAAATCTATTAGTGTTGTTAGGGCATGCAAAGTTAAAGTCTTTAAAATGCATCTTGAATGTGTTATGAATATTCCTGTTTTGTCGTGAACATGGATGACTGCTTTATTTCTAGTCTGATATTTTAGTCAATAATTATTGTTGACCAGAGCGAGAATATTAGTACATTACTTAAGCAGTGGGGTTGGTGCTCTCTAGACGGGAAGCTCTAACAGTGTGTTCACACCAGACGCGAATGTAATTATTCGCGCGAGTAGATTACATACAAAGTCAACGCAAAGACGTGAATAGAGGCGAATTCGCGCCGGGCGACGTGAATGACGCGATGCGTTTGCCGCGAACGCACGATATTCGCCTCAATCGCGTCTTTCGCGCAAGTTAAAAAAGTTCCATCGTATTTGGGACTTTTTGACAACGGGTACAAAACAGCGATTGTAGTTATCTCCACCATGGTTGATCGTGCTGTTTTTATTCACGCGAGTGACACAAAAAACATCCCGCGAGTAATCTAGAGCGAGTGGCGCGATGCGCATATTACGCAGATAGCCAATGTTTGTGCTTGTGTTTATTTGTCCTTGCCCAGGTTCTGTGGGAGCGACTAATATGAACGAGCACAGCTCTCGTTCCCATGCTATCTTCACCATAACTATCGAGTGCAGTGAGAAAGGTGTAGATGGAGATCAACATGTGCGCATGGGAAAGCTACACTTGGTGGATCTTGCGGTAAGCATCCCACATCATGTGGATGAACTTTACATCATCTTGGTTTTCTTTCCATTACTGACGGGGATGTTTTGTTGCTCAGGGCTCTGAAAGACAAGGAAAAACGGGCGCCACAGGTCAACGTCTTAAAGAGGCCACAAAAATCAACCTGTCCCTGTCCACGCTGGGAAATGTTATCTCTGCACTAGTGGATGGGAAAAGCACCCACGTGCCCTACAGGAATTCAAAACTCACCCGACTCTTGCAGGACTCTCTAGGAGGAAACTCCAAAACCATGATGGTACGATAGTCAGTGTGCCTTGCCTTATGTAGTTTCCCTGTTGTTGATTAAATTGCTTGGTAAAACAAGTTTTTATTAAAATTCTGCAGAAATGAATCCGATTTCAGTGAAAGTAGTGCAGACAGTATAATTCTGTTTTATCGCTCTCTTATTTTGCAGTGTGCAAACATCGGCCCAGCAGATTACAACTACGATGAAACCATCAGTACACTCCGTTATGCCAACCGTGCCAAAAACATCAAGAATAAGGCCAGGATTAATGAGGACCCCAAGGATGCACTGCTGCGGCAGTTTCAGAAGGAAATTGAAGATCTCAAGAAAAAACTGGAAGAAGGTACACCGCATCAGTTTTTAGCTGTGTCATGTCTTTGTCAGGGTTGCTCTTCAGGATGTGACTCATTGACTCTGGTCTAAACCCTGGAGTACTGATTGGAGAATAAGAATTTAAAATGGGGGGGGAAATATCATTATGACAAAAATGTTTTTCTCTGATACACATTGAACAATGCAGATTTATTTTCACAGGCTTCTTTGATCATGTTTACCAAGGGTGCCAATAATTCTGACCACGACTGTATATATATAACTAAATAATAAATAGGCCTATACGAGAAATATCTTTTTACTTAAATAATAAATGTAAAAAACGAAAGAAAAAAAATGTGCAACAAGTAGCCTAGTATGCAGAGTTTCAGTTCATTTTTGTGCTGCGAGAAAGGAAACCAGACGGCAGAAAGCGGCATCCTATTTGTCTTCAGGCTTATTTTACAAAAGCACAAAGATTTGTTTTTATTGTGAATGTACACAAATAAAAGCAAACCTTTTACAATTCCGATTATCTTTATGACTAAAAGGAGTAGTTGCTTCCTCTGTTAGAAGGAAAAAATTCAAGTGATTGCGCTGGCGCCGCATGCGCGCACACAGTTAAGCATTGCTACCTTGACAATAATGCAGCCTGTTCATTATCATAATAAAATACAGTCAGTCAAACATATGGAAAAAAACACACTGCTCAGTTTAAATATGTAGTAAAATCTGTGCCGTTAAGCGTTATCACAGTACCGCCGTGATGTTATGCAAAGCATTTTGTTTTACGTGGATATTGGAACATGAGTGAAGTACATAATAAATAATATTTTGGCATTCAAATACATAGATAATTCGGAAACATTTGATTTTGTGTCAACTGTCGAATGAGAGACCCAATGTTGTTTTCAGTTTCGTTTTAGCCTAAATGAATTTGTTTTGGCTTGTAGCTATAGCTTCTTATATTTTAAATTCTTGTTCTTTTCTAAATACTGTTAAATTGAAAGGATTTGTTGTTAAATGGTTCAGGCATCACCTCTTTCAGTGAATCTTGCATCTGATTACTTCATGTTTATCATCTTCCTTTCTGGTGCATCTCACTTCTCTCTGCATCAGCCTAATGATCAGTGACTGCGGTTTTATTTCACACAGACCCAAACGGCAAACCTGATTCCCCTTTAAAAGTCATGATGATATCATGATGATATGATATGTGCTTCTGTTTTCTCACTTCTTGTGCAATGTGCTGGCCATGTGACTTCTCTGCTTGAAATTCAAGACCCAAGAGGTTGGTGTTACAATCTCCTCATCAGCCCAACCCTCCGTCACCTCCAAACCCTAAAAATGTGCTTTAATTTATCCTGAGTTTTACTGTCCCACAAATGAGATGGTCAGACAGAACAAAGTCTTCAAATTAGGTGTGTGAATTATAAAGGTGCTGTATGTAATTTTTTGACCGAGCATAAAAATATTAGTATAGTTTGCAGATATTTAGGAAACATGTTAAGTTCACATATTTGTTTTTCTGAAAAACAATGCTACAGTCAGTTATTCTACATTGAAATGTGCGTTCAGTGTCGGAATGTCTGTTTTTGTTTTGCTCTGTGTGACTTTAAATCAATCACTGACAGCGGATATTGCCAGATCTCTAATGTATCTTAATTGACATTTACATCAGGTGTCTCTTTAAAAATTGACCATAGACACTGTGTGCAATCATCTTGTGGAAAATGATCTCCAAGCTCAATAGAGCTCAGTTTGGCATCTTATTTTCCAGGTCCTCCCTCAAATGCTCTGAGATCATTAAAGCTTCTTGCTGACCATTAAAAATGAAAACTGGCTCGTCATCTGTTTTAATTTTAAAATGGGATTTTAATTTAAAATAATTTAAAATCTGAAGAGTTTGAGAAACAATGGGAAGGTGAGATTGTTCAGATGAGTCAAGTTGGGTGAGACAGAAATGATGAGCACTGTATTTTCATAGGGTTTCCTAAATTAGGATTTGTGAGGGAAATGCAGAGGGTTTGTGAGCTGATGGAAAGCTCAGAATGGTATTTCCTCAGCAACCAGCACGGATCAGCTCCAGGCATGACGAAGCAGATATCGTCCTCTTTTGGAAGGCCAACCAAAGTAGTTTCACTTTCACTACGAAGCACACAGCGTCTTTACGACATGGCGGCTGCAACAACAATACTACAGCGAGAATGAATGTTACGCCTTCTTTCTTTGTGTGAACATTTGGGCGGCGTTATGCAAATCTTCCCACATAGTGACGTAGACA